ATAAAGTCTCCCTCCAACTTCTCAGGCCCCTTTTACACTGCCATATGATCCAGATTATCAAATCAGACAATCCACATTATCTGTTTTGAACTGGATTATCTGAGTCTACACTGCCATATAACCCAGTTCAAAGCAGATAATCTGGATTCCTATCTTTCCTATAGCCTTTACTTGTGGTCAAATGTGATTATCTTCCAGAGATAATCAAGAAATAGTTTTCTAAGATCTACAGAGACACTCGCTGGAACACCCCAGCAAGCGAGAGTCCAAATGTGGCAGGCTCAAACCCAGAACCTCAATCAATGGCTGACACCAAATGAGAGACTCCCCCCTGGGCACACAGAAGACTGGGCGACTTGGAAGGAGCTGAACAGACTGTGCTCTGGCACCACAAGATGCAGAGCCAATCTTAAGAAATGGGGCTACAAAGTGGAATCCACGACATGCGAGTGTGGAGAAGAGCAAACTACAGACCACCTGCTGCAATGCAACCTGAGCCACATGCACAATGGAGGACCTCCTTGCGGCAACACCAGAGGCACTCCAAGTGGCCAGCTACTGGTCAAAGGACATTTTATCAACTACCAAGCTTGCAAATTCTGTGTTTTGTCTGTTTGCTTGTTTTGTTAAAAATGTAATACAAATGTCTGGTTGCTGATGACACGATAAATAAAATCTTCCAGAGGTAGAGTCTTGGTGATGGATCAATAAATGACTATGAATATGAAGACCTATTCTGGATCCAAATGTAACAGCCGAGTTTCAGTCTGGAAGCCTCTTATGGACCTTCTAGTAACGAGGGTGGAAAGTATAAAAATGTGGTGGTCTGTAAATAAGAAGCCTATCAGAATAGTGCTTTGGTACAGCAACGTTTAAGGAGTTCTGGTTTAGTCAACTGCATCCTATAACATACAGAGCTGAGATTTCATTTTGCTACACAAATTCATCTTTCTCTAAACTCTTCACAGTAACAAAGGTCAAAGGGAAAATGACAGAGGGCAGGGAAAATGACAGGCCGTTTCCCAAGTTAATCGCTACAGCCTGCCTGGATTTAGTTAACAATTCTTTTATAAACAGCATGCAGCAATTAAAGTGGTCATACATCTTGCTGAATGGCCTGCAGCAAATGTTTACATGTGTAGCACTGTCAGCTGCTCTCAAGATACATGCTGTGCCGTTTTTTTAAAAAGTCGCATTATACGCAGTCTTTAGTACCCAGAACACATTGCCCTTGACAGCCACATATTGCAAGCCACAGTCACAAGTCTCACATGCTTTCGAGTGTCGTGTTGGCATAACACAGACATCACCAGACACACAGGGAACTGCACTCTTGACACAACACTACACTACAAACGTGTCAAACATTTCACATTCTTGCGCAACAAGTGCTGCAAGCATGGATTCCATTTCTAAAAATGTTACGGCACTAAGTTTTTCATTTATTTCCTTTGTGGAAGCCTGTCAAGTTTCTGATCACACTACAATCAAATACATATGCATATTTTGACTATAATTCAGCCACAGAATTTTTACATTCATATACTCTCAATAACTCATGAGTTATTTGCCAAGTTGTTTTATTCCGATCTCCAAATCCCTCTGATAAATCAGCTGTAAGTAACACATGGCCCTCAAGATGTTGTCGGAAGCCTCACTAGCCCTAGTAAGTACAATCAGTAGCAAGGAATCCTGGAAGCTACAATCTTAACATATGGAGAGCTGCGTCATTCACACCTCTACTGTAAAGCAAAGAGTTTCATTTCAATTTTTTATTTTAATTAGTGGATTTCTTGTGCTGTTGTTTACTATGCTTCGCTTGTTTGCTTGGATTTTCAACAGTATTTCAAAATAAAATTGTATGCTTACACCAATTTCATACGCCCCCAGTGGCGTAGCAGGTAAAACTGCTGAGCTGCTGAACTTGCTGACTGAAAAGTCAGTGGTCAGAATCCAAGGAGTAGAGTGAGCTCCTGCTGTTAGCCCCAGCTCCTGCCAACCTAGCAATTAAAAACATGTTAATGTGAGTAGATCAATAAATACCACTCCAGCAGGAAGGTAACAGTGCTCCATGAAGTCCTGCTGGCCACTTGACCTAGGAGGTGTCTACAGACAACACTGGCTCTTCAGCTTAGAAATGGAGATGAGCGCCACCCCCCAAAGTCAGACACAACTAGACTTGATGTCAAGGGGAAACCTTTACTTTACTACTCTTTGCTAAATATTTCACAAACTAAGGCTACAGTCTTATGAATAAACACTAAACACCAAAAAAACCTATGATTATAATTTGTGTCCAATAAACATAGTGTTTGACAAGCATTAAGTTTGAGAGCAATATGAAACTTAAATTAATGCATATATCATAAGGACACAAATCATAATGACATAATGGCATACATCGTAAGGATGTACATATGTTCCTAATGAAAAGCAGTTACACATTGCAAAGTGTCAGTATTTTAAAGATCTAGAAATGTCACAGCATCCTGGCCAAATTAATTCACACATACTCAAAAATAGATTCTTAATGTGAAGATACCACCCAGAGAGCATTATCTTTTAATTATTGCAAAGTGCACTGTTTAAAATGTCTTGGACTAGCATTGTTAGAGAGGCCTGGATCCAACTGAACTTCTGGATAGCAAATTAACACTTCAGTCAGTTCAGCTGGCCTCCTCTAGCTGAGATAAGAAATTAGATTTACATGGAAAACTCCAGTTCCTCATTGTAGGTAGAATGTAAGCATCAGCATTACACTAAAATGATGTAAGACACCAGTATAAACAGGTATTGCTTTACGGCAGTGGTTCCCAGTCTGTGGTCTGTGGACCACCAGTGGTCCCCAAGACCTAAAATATGGTCTGCAGCTTCACCATTACTACACCATTGCGACAAGAGCAACTGGTCTTGTGAAACCCTCTTATAGTGCCGAGGCAACAGGGATGTCAGGAGGAAAGAGGCTACCTACCCATGAAAGGCACCACAACAACCCTCCTGACTGCTGTTTCTCCTCCCCCCTTCCCCCTCCCCCCTAAACGGAGCCATTCCATGTGGTGCCTGGAAGCGAGGACGCCTTGGTGTCTTTATTTTTAGACCTCTTCCTGGGGTTATTTGGGGTGCTGATTCAGAAATTGTATAGACCACATCAGCTCTAGATTATTAAATATGGTTTTCTATGGGCGAGCAGATGGCGACTACTGGATGGCATATGGGCTGGGCTTTAGCACAGTCGGTTAATCACCAGCAGCAATAGATCTTAGCAATTGAAAGGTTTGCAGTTCAAAGCCCAGGTTAGGGTGAACACCCGACCTTTAGCCCAGCTTACTGTCCACCTAAACAGTCCGAAAACATTGTGCCGTGTTAATTTCAGCAATGAATTACCTTATTTCGGAGTCATTTGTCTCATCATTGGTGTATATTTTAGTGCTGAAAAGGGTAGTGACCGACTTACAGCCCACTATACAAACTTAGAGGATTTGAAAAGTGTGTCCTATCATCAGGGCAAAAACTGATCTCTGAGACAGATGGCACAAAATACATTAACTAAAGCATATAAAGATTTGCATGATGATGTATGCACTTTAAAGGAACCTGCAGAGAGTGAAGCACCTGTATTGTGCACAAGTCTGTAAACAAAACATTTCTATGACCACACCTTTGGGTCCTCCTACAGAAAACCATTCTCAGGCCCCTTCCACACAGCTGTATAAAATCCACGTTGAACTGGATTATATGGCAGTGTAGACTCAAATAACCCAGTCGAAAGTAGATATTATGGGCTTTTCTGCCTTGATATTCTGGGTTATATGATTGTATGGAAGGGCCGTAAGAGACAACAGAAAGGTGCAGAAAGATACTAAGAATCAATGGCAGCCATTTCAGTGGGAAATAATTACAGTAAAGCTATCTTGATTCACAGTTGCACAGCAGAAGCCAGCACAATTTTTCAAAAAACAGAGAAAGGCTCATTACCATCAGTCAAGGCACTGAATAGACATTTACCTAAAGACATTTGCCATTGCATTTCAGTATCTGAGCAGATATGTAAATAAATACAGAGGTGAACAAGATTAAACAGAAGATTGACCAATGCAAAAAAGAAAGGAAGAAGAGTGAAAAGGGAAAGTAAAGGGGCATTTAAGGTGAAATTACAATAAAATCATTTGCTGTGATGCTTGATACCAGAAATGATCAGAAAATGACACACAACCACCTTCTGCCACTCTCTCCAAGCCAGAAAACATAAGAAGAAACAAGGCAAAGGAGTTTCAAATCCTGTCTCATTTATCCCAGAAAGCCGGTGGGAAGGAAAACCAAGACAGCCAAGAGGAAAGGTCAACCAAGCCTCCTCCTTTCCTGGGGAATGTGCGGGGTGCTAAACACACTTGGTGGTGACACCATCACCAGGGCTAGCACCATATAAAATTGTGCAGTGTTTCAGCAGAAATATATTAATTTTTAAAAATAAAATTATCCTTGCAATTAGTTATAACCACAAAAGGATTTTTTGTAAACCCGGATTCCACTTACAATGCTAGGTCACTTTTTGAACTTTCTAATGTGCATGCCATCCAAGTGATCACAATTACCCCATGACACTTTGAATTGCAGGGTTTCGCCTGCACATGCTACAAGCACCTGCTGTCAGTTTTGTTGCTGCTAGAGGCTTTAATAGCAGCTTTCCTCCAATACGCTGGTATTTTGGCTACAATATTGTGTTAAGGACTGCTTTGGACGGAGGTCCAGCTGACAGCCACTCTAGTGACACTGCTGCCTTTTCTCTGAAACCTGGAAGCAAATAAATGCAGCAAGTGCCTGATGGGAATGGCACTCTGTCCATGCTCCTGCCTCCCATGGTGCCACAGGGTTGATTTGCTCAAGGGAGGGAGGGAGGGAAGAGGGACTTCAGACACTCTCAGAGGAGGTAGAAACCAAAGACAAGGCACTGCAAAGGCTCATACTCCTCTTCATGGAAGGAAGGAAGGCAAGCCACTCACCTGAAGCAGGTGGCGAGCTCCCCGCTGGGCTTGAGGCAGGAGTACCTGGTGGTGGCCACTTTGCTCTCCGAACACACTTCCCTGCCAGAGGAGAAGACATAGGCATGTTAGTTAAGGCTGGGTGCAATGAAAGGGATCTTGTCGCAGCTTCTCAATCAGGCATGGGCAAGCCTGGGCCCTCCCTCCAGGTGTTTTGGACTTCAATTCCCACCATTCCAAATAACCTCAGGTCCTGAGGCTGTTCAGAATAGTGGGAATTGAAGTCCAAAACACCAGCGTCTTGGGGGGGGGGAATAGGAAGGGGCCTGAGACTGTTGGGAAAGGGAATGGTGGAAGTTCAAGTCCAAAACACCAGCGTCTTGGGGGGGGGGGGGATAGGAAGGGGCCTGAGACTGTTGGGAATAGTGGGAGCTGAAGTCCAAAACACCAGCGTCTGGGGGGAGGGGGGGGGCGAAGGGCCCTGAGGCTGTTAGGAATGGTGGGAGGKGAACTCCAAAACACCAGCAACTGAAGAGGAAAAGGAAGAGGCCTGACGCTGTTGGGAATAGTGGGAGTTGAAGTCCAAAACACCAGCAGCTGAGGAGGGAAAGGAAGGATCCTGAGGCTGTTAGGAATGTTGGGAGTTCAAGTCCAAAACCAGCGTCTGGGGGGAGGGGGGGAAGGGCCCTGAGGCTGTTGGGAATGGTGGGAGTTGAAGTCCAAAACACCAGCAACTGAAGAGGAAAAGGAAGAGGCCTGGCACTGTTGGGAATAGTGGGAGTTGAAGTCCAAAACACCAGCGACTGAGGAGGGTCCTGAGGAGGGTCCTGAGGCTGTTGGGAATGGTGGGAGCTGAAGTCCAAAACACCAGCGGCTGAGGGAGGAAAGGAAGGGTCCTGAGGCTGTTGGGAATAGTGGGAGTTGAAGTCCAAAACACCAGCGTCCCGGGGGGGGGGGGRGGGGCAAGGCGCCTGAGTCTGTTGGGAATGGTGGGAGTTGAAGTCCAAAACACCAGCGGCTGAGGAGGGAAAGGAAAGGGCCTGAGTCTGTTGGGAATGGTGGGAGCTGAAGTCCAAACCACCTGGAGGGAGGGCCAAGCTGGCCCATGCTTGTCCTAAACCCTGTGCCTTCAACCTGCCTCTCCGTCCTCTTTCCCTCCCTCGCCCTCGCCCAGCTGCTGCTGCACCCTCGGACCCACCTGTCGCTCTGCTCGGGCTCCTCGCGGTAGGTCCACGCGTGTCCCAGGGCGGCGAGCAGCAGCGCCAGCACCAGCGGGAGCCGGAGGCGCGGAGGGCGCGAGGGCCACCAAGGCCGGCGCAGCCCCATCGGGCGGACTTGCTTCTGCTACTTTTGAGCCTGGATTCCCCGACAAGGAGGAAAAAGAGGGAAGCCTCCGAGCGTGGGGCCCTGAGCGCGTGCTGTGGGAGCGAGGAAGGGAAAGCCGGGGGAGGCGAGCTGAGGCGAAGAGAAGACGGAGGAGGAGGAGGCAAGAGAGAGGTGACTTCGCGGAGGGAAAGGATCCTTCCCAGGCTTTGCCTGAGGCTGTGAAGGAGGCGAGGGGGCGGGGAAGGGTTCTCCCCCAGCTGTTGCAAACAGAGAGAGAGAGAGAGAGAGAGAGAGAGAGAGAGTCCCGGGGGGAGGAGAGGAACGGGAGTAGGAAGAGAAGGAGAGGAAGAGAAGGAGAAAGAAAACGAGGTGTGTGGAAAAGCTGGCGGTGGGGCAAGGAAGGTGGGATGGGGGCAGCAGCCCTCGCTGGGTAAGGAAATCTGTGTGTCTCCCGAGGCGAAGATGAAGGCAGGATCTGGCTGAAGGAGAAGTTTGGGAATGGCCGAGGGAGAAGGAAGAGGGGGGAGGACGCGATTTGTGGGGTTTCTTTCCGTGGGAAGAAGAAGCAGTGACAAGACGCCGGGCGAGAGGAGGAAGAAGAGGAACTGCAGCCCTCCGAATCAGGAATAGTTGTAGCATCAACTATTTGAGATCCAGGGATGCTCCCCCTCTATTCCGACTTGGTTAGACCACACCTGGAATATTGTGTCCAATTCTGGGCACCACAACTAAAGAGAGCTATTGACTCTAAGCTGGAATGTGTCCAGAGGAGGTCGACTAAAATGATAAAGGGTCTGGAGAACAAGCCCTATGAGGACCAGCGTAAAGAGCTGGACATATTTAGCCTGAAGAAGAGAAGGCTGAGAGGAGATATGATGAGAGCCATGTATAAATATGTGAGAGGAAGCCACAGGGAGGAGGGAGCAAGCTTGTTTCCTGCTTTTCTGGAGACTAGGACGCGGAACAGTGACTTCAAACTACAGGAAAGGAGATTCCACCTGAACATTAGGAAGATCTTCCTGATTGTGAGAGCCGTTCAGCAGTGGAACTCTCTGCCCCAGAGTGTGGTGGAGGCTCCTTCTTTGGAAGCTTTTAAACAGAGGCTGGATGGCCATCTGTCAGGGGTGATTTGAATGCATTTTTCCTGCTACTTGGCAGGGGATTGGCCTGGATGGCCCATGAGGTCTCTTCCAACTCTATGATTCTATGATTCTATCAGGACCCGCTTCCCACGGGTGAAGGGCTCTAGGACAGTTTTCTCAACCTGGGGGTCGGGACCCCTGGAGGGGCCGTGAGGGGGGTGTCAGAGGGGTTGCCAAAGACCATCAGAAAACACAGTATTTTCTGTTGGTCATGGGAATTCTGTGTGGGAAGTTGGGTCCAATTCTTTCGTTGGTGGGGTTCAGAATGCTCTTTGATTGTAGGTGAACTAGAAATCCCAGCAACTACAACTCCCAAATGTCAAGGTCTATTTTCTCCAAACTCCACCAGTGCTCACTTTTGGGCATATTGAGTATCTGTGCCAAGTTTGGTCCAGAACCATCATTTTTTGAATCCACAATGCTGTCTGGGTGTAGGTGAACTACAACTCCAAAATTCAAGGTCAATGCCCACCAAACCCTTCCATTATTGGTCTTTGGTATCCATTGGGGTTTATTTCCAGGACTTTCCATGAATATCAAAATATGGATTAAAATATTTTCTAGCTGTGCATTGTTCAACCCTTCCTCTGACACATGGCTTATGGTAGCATCCTAGTTTTAATTTTCTTTAATTTTAAATGCAAATATGCCCCAAATCACCCCAAGAACAGCATTTTAGGATTAACAAGTCAACACTACTTGTCTATTTAATAAGCTTGTTAAGAAGTATTACAGTTGGTATTTGGTCTCTGTTGGGGTTTATTTCCAGGACCTTCCATGAATATCAAAATATGGATTAAAAATATTTTCTAGCTGTGCATTGTTGAAGCTGTGGATGCAGAATCTGTGGATACAACATGCTGACAGTATGGTTTTCTTACTAGTCTCTAGATCAGCGTTTCTCAACCTGGGGGTCGGGACACTAGGGGGTTCCGTACCCCTGGGCTGATCATCAGAAAACCAAAGATCATCAGGAAGCATAGTCTTCTATGTGGGAAGTTTGGCCCAATTCTATTGTTGGTGGGGTTCAGAATGATCTTTTATGGTAAGTGAACTATAAATCCCAGCAACTACAACTCACAAAAGTCAAGGTCTATTTTCCCCTAACTCCACCAGTGTTCACATTTGGGCACATTGGGAATTCATGCCAAGTTTGGTCCAGATCCATCATTGTTTGAGCCCACAGTGCTCTCTGGATGTAGGTGAACTACAACTCCAAAACTCAAGGTCAGCGCTCACCAAACCCTTCCAGTATTTTCTGTTGGCCATGGGAGTTCTGTGTGCTGAGTTTGGTTCAATTCCATTTTTGGTGGAGTTCGGAATGCATTTTGATTGTAGATTGTAGAGGGACCCAGAACCTGGAGGTGGGTGAGCAGAAGAGCCCAAGGAACAAGAGGAAGGCATCCTGGGTGCCAAGAGAGGGGGAGGAAGGACAAGGGGAGATGAACCCCCAAAGCTGGAACTGGAGGAGGCAGAGGTAGGAGAGGGGCAAGCAGAGGAAGACAGGCGAATGAGGAAAGAGACCTGTTGAAAGCACTTCTGCACAGAAAGCACTGCATCCCTTGGTGTGGGATGAGGTGTCTGCTCAAAGAACAAAAAATGAACCTGTTAATTCGTTTGGACAACAGCTCTGTAAATCCTGCTTGGCTTCTCTTTTGGAGAAAAGTGGGGTGAGGGAGAGTCATCAATCACATCTCCCTTAGACCTGTCAGAGAGTTACAATACCTAAAAGTTCTACCCCACCGACTTCCTTTTTCCTCCTCTTCCCTTCCTCCGTTTTATGCTGCAAGAGATTGAGGTTGCGCCTTCTTTACAAAATACCTGACCAAAGGACTTGATGTGAACAGAGGATTCTTATTCAAAAGCTCAGGCAATTGCACTTTCTCACAAAGATCTCCCTTTTTCTGTTGGGAAGCAGAAAAGGGAAAGAAAAGAGCTGAATCATAGAGTTGGAAGAGACCTCGTTGGCCATCCAGTCCAACCCCCTGCCAAGAAGCAGGAAAACTGCATTCAAAGCACCCTCGACAGATGGCCATCCAACTTCTGCTTAAAAGCCTCCAAAGAAGGAGCCTCCACCACTGCAGAACAGCTCTCACAGTCAGGAAGTTCTCCTTTCCTGTAGTTTGAAGCCATTGTTCCATGTCCTAGTCTTCAGGGCAGCAGAAAAGTTTTTTCCTTCCTCCCTATGACTTCCCCTCACATATTTATACATGGCCAACATGCGCCCTCTCAGCCTTCTCTTTTTCAGGCGAAACATGCCCAGCTCTTTAAGCTGCTCTTCATAGGGCTTGTTCTCCAGACTCTAGATCATTTTGGTCACCTTCCTTTGTCAACATCTCCGTTCAATTGTGATGCCCAGAATTGGACACAGTATTCCAGGTGTGGTCTGACTAAGGCAATCGATCCAGTCCTACCTGGAATGCTGATTTTGTTAAATCCCTGCCCCTGTTATCAGGACTGTGTTTTGACTGAGAAAACAAGGAACAGAACAACACTCAAAAAGCAAGGGAATTTCAGATAAGAATCAATCAGACCCAGCTAACACTTCCCAACAAAGGATTCCCCCCCAGGCAGCACCCAGCCAAGCGTTGAAGCTGCAAGGCCATTCAGTGCTAATCAAGGTGACCAATTGCAACATTCACCTCAAGAAGACAAGAGTTCCTTCTCCCACCCTGGACATTCCACCACACTCTATATATGCCTAGTTTCCAACAGACCTAACAACCTCTGAGGATGCCTGCCAAAGACGTGAAACGTCAGGAGAAAATGCTTCTGGAACATAGCCAGACAGCCTTGAAAACTCACAGCCACCCAAGGAACAGAGAGCTTAGAATCATAGTGTTGGAATAGACTTTGTGGGTCACCCAGTCCAACCTCCTGCCAAGAAGCAGGAAAATCACCTTCAAAGAACCATCAACAGATGGCCATTCAGCCTCTGTTTAAAAGCCTCCATGGAAGGAGCCTCCACCACACTCTGGGGCAGAATTCCACTGCTGAACAGCTCTCACAGCTTGATGGTGGAAATCTTAAGTAGAAAAAAGCATCAGATACTTCCAGTTGTAACTTTCTGTCTCTTGATGGAAGATTCAAGTGCTGGAAAATCAGCAATAAAGTCTCTTCTCCCTCAGAGCTTGGAAAACTTATGCTATAAGAGAGAGATGGCATTGCAAGGAAACAGATATCAGTGGCTCATAAACCAAATAGGCTGTGTGTATTCCCTCCCATCATTTCCGAGCTGTTATTAGAATATGATTTGGGATAAACGTCAGGGGAGAACTTCCAAATTCTAAAAACTATTTGACAGAGAAATAGACTGACTTGGGGGTAGTAGATTCTCTTTTGCTGGATGTATTTATGTGTACCAGGGATGACTGTGTGTCAGAACTATTATTGCTACTGAAGCAGCTGCAAGATTCCTGCATTGAGTAGGAAGTTGGTCAAGGTGACCTCGAGTTTCTAACACCCTCTCCTTTCTGACGCATAGTACATACCGGTTTCTGGCTCCCTGGCCTTCTGTGAAACCCAACCTCACCTTCTCTTGATTCCTTCACCCATCTTCCTCTACGTCCTGCAACCTGGCTGCCTAAAGGCTTGACATGACCCAAAAGATACATGTCTCTTTTTGGCCATGAGGAAGGTTAGGCTGAAAGATAGTGACTTATCCGAGGCCAACTATGAGCTTCATGGTTGGGCAGCCACATCTTAATTCAAACAAGGGAATCAGAACCAGTTTTCAGTGCCAGTTCAGTCTCAGGAACACATTTTGAATCAATTCTTGAATAGGAGTGGCACAGTTGGCTAGCATTTTCTGCTTTGGTGGTTGTTATTGTAGTCTATCATGCTTTTAACACACACACACATATATATGTATATATATATTTGTAACATTTAATGAAAGATGACAGCACAAAGCTTTCCTGTTATGTTTTGGATTGCACCTTCCAGAATTCCTCCACTGGTATGAGCAGCTGTCTAGAAACATTACTTTCCCAAACTGACTAAGTAAATGAATAAAGCAT